TTCATGCATGGATGACTTCATGTCATTAATCATTCACACAGAGAAGACATATCCAAAGGCAAAACTCTACATATCCTCAATCTTAATGAAAGGAAAGAATGTACATGTAATCTCCAAATTGGTGCTTTAAACAGGGAGCTGAAAGTATTATGTCAGAAAAAGGTCTCCTCTACATTGATAATAGATATACAGATCCAGAATCACATCTTATTCACACACTTCATCCAAACCACTATGGTACTGGACGATTAGTCAAGAATATGAAGGATGTTATGGCTCCTCTATTAGGAATCCCCAGATACCATCAAATTCAGCAGCGTCATCCTTATGATTCCAATCATCGACAGTTTCAACATTCAGCAACTAAAAGCCACAACTTAAGTCATCAGCCATACAGCCATAGGCCACCAATATACTAAGAATATGTGTTTTCAACAAGATAAACAAAGTACAAGCTATACAAGAACAACATGGCAAAATACTTCTTCAAGGTGATTTCAATAGCAGAACAAGTGTATTATCTGACTTTATAGAAAGTGACTCTACTGATTTCATTACAGTACCTGACACCTATATTACAGACGATGTAAACCCACGTCATAATAGAGATGTGATTATATATACATATGGTAAGATGTTGATAAATCTGTGTAAAAAAATGTGACATTAAAATTCTGAATGGTAGAATACCCGGTGACTCAACAGGCAACTTAACATATTACCACTATAACGGTGTAAACACAGTGGATTATACTTTCTTATATCTTTCTTGCTAGACAAATTTGATATTTTCAGAATTCACAATTTCACATGCTACTCAGATCATTGCCAAATATCATGCCTTTTAAGACTTCCAAAAATAATTTTAGACAAATGTGCAAATAATTACTCACTACATAACCTCAGAATATTTAGAATTGGGATAAGTTGTCTGTAATCAACAACCAGGACAGGTTAGCGAGTACAGTAATACAGGATAAAATTAACTCTTTTTGTCATGAAGAATTTGAATTAAATGGTAGTGGAGTGAATACGGAAGTTAGACAACTCAATTCAATTACAGACATAGCTGCAGGATCAATACTGAACAGAAAGAAAGCTAACAAGAATTCAAAAATAAAAAAGAAAACTGGTTTGACCAACAATGCAAACAAGCTAAAGCAGACCTGGTAGAAACAGCTATTGAGAAAATTCCTTCTGACAATAAAATAAGACAGATTTATTATTGTAAGAAAAAGACAAGGATTAAAAAAACAACAATTACAAAAGAAATTATTAGATAAATTAATAACATTCGAGAATAATAATTCAAAAGAATTTTGGAATATTCTAAATCAACTAAGAGATTCTAAAAGTGACAATAGTAATTTTATATCTCCAGACATCTGGTTAATTATTATAATATATGAAATAGTGATATCTCTGCAGAGGATGAAGACAGAATTAACATGGATATTATGAATTTAGAGCAAACAATTTTGAAAGAAAGTTCCATCAAGATTGAAATTACAGAAAAGTCAATCAAAAATCTTAAATCAAACAAATCAGCAGGGTTTGATAGTATTTGTCCTGAGTTACTAAAATTTAGTTCAAATCTCCTAATTAAATCATTAACACAACTCTTCAATTTAATTTTAAAATCAGGATCCTTCCCAATTGTATGGAATACTAGTCTAATCACTCAACTACATAAAAAGAGTGATGTAAATGATCCTAACAATTATAGAAGGATCTATGTAACCAGTAGCATGGGTAAAACTTTATGTTCAATCATTAATAATAGACTAACCACATACTTAGAAGAAAATAAAATTTAAGAAAATAATCAGGCTGGTTTTCGTAAAAATTGTAGAACAACAGATCAAAAAAATTAAAAGTTTTATGTTTGTTTTGTAGATTTTAGGTCTGTTCTACAATTGATTTCACAAAATGGCATAGAGGTGCTATTGAAAAAATACATTTAACCACTGTAAAAGAATTCTTGGACTGAAAAAATATGCTAGCAATGCAGCTTGTAGAAGTGAGATTGGTAGTTTTCCATTATTGACTGAAGTACATACTTTCATGTATAAATATTGGTTAAGACTGCGGGAACTTCCAGAAGACAATATAACGAAATCAACATAATAGTAACATGTGGATGCATACAATGAAAGGCATGTTGACAGAAATTAATCAGAACTCACTGTGTGATACAAAGGAAACAATCTTAGACTCAAAATCTAAAAAATTTGATTAACAAAGTGAAATGTCAAATGAAACAAAAATACACTGATCATTGGAGATCAAACATAAGGAAAGATGATAGCAAATTACGTACATACTCAAAATTTAAGAAAGATTTTTGTTATAAACAATATTTATCAAATGTTGTAAATATTAAACAAAGAATTATTCTAACAAAATCCAGGATAAGCAATCATAACCTTGGTATAGAAACAGGCAGATACACACGCTCCAAAACAACATTACAAGATATAATTTGTCTACATTGTGATTCGCATAATGTAGAAAATGAAGAACATTTACTAATAGTTTGTCCAAAATACATGACATTATGTCAAGATTTGTACTCACATATAATATTGCCAAAAGAAATCAAAAGTAACAATGAAAAATTTCAATTTATAATGACAATAACAGACAAAACGTCAATTAAGCATTATATTGCTATTTTATTGCTATATACTGAAAGAAATGTATATTTCTAAAGATGCAATAAACAATTATTATTATTATTATTATTATTATTATTATTATTATTATTATTATTATTATTATTATTAAGGCAGACTTGAATGGTGACGGGAATATACCAGTAGATAGTGAATCATTAATTATTGTTGTTATATATGGTAACATTGTATCCAAACATTCAATTAACAAGTTAGTTGGTATGATATCGAGATCGCAGGATTTAGCTGGAGATTTGAGAATCACGCGTTTCACTAGCTCTTCAGAAATCGGATTAAAATTGTTGAGAGTGTGACCTTGGAAACGTTTTTCGCTATGGACAGAAATATCATGATCTTGGCAATCCAACCTTCCTCCAATCAATTTTACTTTACTGTCGAAGTATTCTAGAAAGCGTTCAGACAAATCAATTGATGGGTAAATAGATGGCAGAGTAGCAGTCACACTTCTACCAAGTAGTCGATGTGTAACATTGAATAGTTGTTTGCAAGTACTGCAATCTCCTCACTATAGTAGGTGGTTTTGGCATCGTGGACAATATTGGTAACTGGTTTCTTTGATTGGACATATATCTGTTTATGAATTGTCAATCCCGACTTTAGCTACTGTCTTTCTGCACGGCGGCGATGTTGCTTGGCGGCCTTTAATTCAGTGCTGACTGCACTGAACCAAGAGGCATTCCTGTGCGATGTAACAGGCGACACGTTGCTGGAGCATGCTTATCAATAATGGCCCGTAAGTGTGAATTAAAAGCATCAACAGTCAGTGGATGAAGACCAGAAAGACTGTTGTGCGGATCATTGTTCAGAAAAGGACGATTTATAGAGCGAATGTTGCGAGCAATCACATGAGTACTGAATGGTTTCGGTACAGTGATGTTAAGGCGACTAATAACACAGTAATGATCAGAGGCGATGGCATTGGAAACTTTAGTGGACAAGACATGATTTTCATCAGATCGATGGAGTAGCCAGTCAAGAACGTGTTCTTTGTTGTGAGTTGGCTGTAATACAGTTTGGGTGAAATCGAATGTTGATAGTAGATCCATCATCTTTGAAGTGGTTGCATTTTGTGGACAGTCATAGTGGACGTTTAGTTGTATACGACCAAGACTATCGTAACGTGGTAGGTTTGCAGGTGGGGTCATTACCTTAATAAAAACTGAGCTCATGAATCATGTACAGCAAATACAAAACAACTGTTTACTGTTTCTCTTTAAAATGGAAATCTTTTGGATAAAGATGTACTATTTTGCAATGTACATACTCCACCACACCGTGCCACAATATACGATTGATCTGTTAGAAAATGAATTGTTAAGAATATTTCAATATTTGGTGATATGAATATAATATTAACGGGAGATTGTAATTCCTGCACTGGTGACGAACCAGATTATATCTTAAATAATACGCGACTCATGTTGTCAATAATTTTCAAGGCTACAATGAGAACAACTTTATTGCTCCTTGCACAAATAAGGATAATGTGCTCAATACTTTCGGTCGATCGCTTCTATTTCTTTGTTGCACATTTAATTTACATGTGTTAAATGAGAGGATGGGGGAAGACACGGGGATTGGGTATTTCACTTGTATTTCTGCAAATGGAACTAGCTTGGTCGATTGTGTGATAATATCCTCTGCACTTTTTGCCAACATAACAAATTTCTCGGTCATGACCCGCACTTAATCAGACCATTTGGCGTTATTTTTTAGCATGGCGTCTGTGTTAGGCCCCCGCCAAAATATACTGAGAAGATCAATACAAGTACGGATACAAAGTTCATATAGTCACATGACCATGCAAATTCTTTCATGATTTTTTTAGAAGCAGATAGTACCACAACAAATTTAAATACGATTATTGAAAATACTTCATGTGGCATTACCAAATCTATAGTTATCATAGAAAATGAGTTCCGATTGGCAGCATCGAAATGCCATATGATAAAGCACATAACTAATTCGCCAACAACGCAATCTCAATGATCTGATTCTTAGTGTAAAATAATTAAAAAACAAATGTACAAATCATTACGTGAGTTCCGCAATACAAATAGTTTACTAAACTTACAAGAATACCAGGGAATTCGTAAACAGTTTAAAAAAGCGAGATTATATAAACCACCTAAAATCTGGGCTCGTGGCCACTGATACTAAATTGTTGTGGTCAACCCTTCAGCGCATTAATTGTTCGACGAGTTTGGGTAGATCGCGAGTTATTACATCCGACCAATGGTTGCAATATTTTAGTAATTTATTCATTCCCAAAGTGGGAGATTTTGTCTAGCAAGTGACTTGAAGATGCTTGACTATGTAAACGATCTCCTACCTGGTACTAAAATGGAAATCGATTGGGACATTCTAAATGGCCCTATTACCGAGGAGGAAATCCATAAAAATATTCGATGTCTCAAAAATGGCAAATTAGCCGGACCTGATGAGCGTATTTGTGATTTTTTTAAGGAGGCATCGAATGTGTATATATGTATTCTGTTTAATCATATTTTTGATTCTGGCAAATGTCCATGTGAGTGGGCAAAAGCATTAATCATTCTTATATACAAAAAAGGTTCCATCAACGACCGCGGAAATTACAGAGCAGTCTTCTTACTAATTGTTTTGGGAAAATATTCAACTCCATTTTGAATAGACGTCTATGTTTTTGGGCCGAGGTCCTTGGAAAAATTGACGAATCACAAGCCGGATTCAAAAAAGTTTATTCCACTTTTGACAGTATATTTGTACTGCAATCATTAGTGCAAAAATATCTTACATAAAAGCGTAGCAAATTCTTCTGTGCATTCGTCGAATTTTCCAAGGCCTTCGATAGAGGCTTTGGTACACTTTACTTAAAGGAGGTGTGAGGGGCAAAATGTTTAAAATTTTCTTTAATATGTATTCTAACGTGAAATCGTGTGTTAGAACTGGGAGTGGATTAGCTGAGTATTTTGAAGTAAGACTGGGGTTCGCCAGGGTTGTATGCTGAGCTTGTTTTTATTTTCATTTGTTATTAATGAGCTAGTAAGGGAACTTGAACAAACTGAACAGAATGGCGTTCAACTGTACCCAGATTTGGTAGAACTATTTTGTTTGCTATTTGCAGACGATGTTGTCATCTTTTCAGACACTGTTATGGGGCTCCATAAACCTTGAAAAGACAAAAAACGGCGGCCTTTTGTCAAAGCATGAAAAGAGGTCTTACTATGGTAAACACGTAGAAGTAGTTTCTTACTACAAATATATAGGTGTATTGTTTTCATGTAGATTGCAATGGTCGTCTGCTACTAAATCTTTTAGCCCAACAAAAAACAAAACAATTTTTAGGAACAACAACAAAGTCTGGCCTTTAACATATGAAGCATTTTTAAAATATTTGATTCAATCGTATTGCAAATACTGACATACAGAAATCTGGAGATTCAAGAAATATGACTGTCTTGAAAGAGTTCAGTATTTATATTGTAGGCATTTCCTCGGTGTATCAAATAGAGCGCCCGAAAACAGTGTCTTGGAGGAATGTGGCAGAAACCAAATCTGGTTTTATACAGCCAAACGTTGTGTGAAGTACTGGGCTAAAATTATCAATATGCCAAAAATAGAAAATAGTTACCCACGTAAATGTTATGAAATGTTGTATACCATATAAAAATCTGGGGTACGATAAAAAAGTACGTGGGTTGCAGAAGTTAAAACATTGCTGTCTTTGTGCAATCTTGACCATGTTTGGTATTCCGAAGAAGTTGGTAATAACAATTTAGTCTTGGAATTTTTTTGCTAAAGATTTAAAAATAATTTGTACAGTGAGTGGTTTAGTGATATTTATACCATGACTAAATTAGATACATATCGTGAATTTAAAATAAATCTAATATTAGAGAAATATATCACTTCCATACTGTTATTTCACACAAAAATGCCTTATCAAGCTTTCGCTGCTCGGCACATTGTCTTCGCATTGAAGTTAGTAGAGGAGCAATCAAAAGAAACCAAAGGATATGTCAACTTTGTGAAACAAACCAAATAGAAGATGAGTACCACTTCCTGTTAGTCTGCCCTTTTTATAATGAATTTCGTGATAGATATCTATCCCGTTACTTCTATGATCCACTATCTTTCAACATTTTTATTCTTTTAATGAAATCACAAGTCATTTTTTGGTGAATATGTATTTCATACATTAAATGCGAGATACGAAATTTCAGATTTATTGTAATATTTACTATACAAACGCACAAATGTTCTTTTGTTTTGTAATCACATTATGGGCCGAAGGCATTTAATATTTGTGAATAAAGACCATATATACGAATAACAACAATTATTATAATATTTTACACCACATATTTCTGATTCAAATATTAATTGATAATTAATAAAACATATACCAGGATTTTGATAATATTGTATGTTTTCAGATTGAAGAGAAAACAATACATGTATTGTAGGAGCGGACGAGATGATTTTGCAAATATTGAGAAATAATGTTGTCCTTTTAATATGGATTATTGTTTGATTAATGTGTTCGTTCCACATGACAGACGAGCCCTGATGAGGTAAATATACTTTGAAATACCACACTTCTTCGTTGTATAGGTTATCTTATAAGTGGTGAAAAATCAAACAATTGAACTATTGGACGGACAGAAAAGTGAAAGGTGAATAAGATGGAATGAATGTAGTGCAGATTTGTGGGAATGGGATTGAATAGAGTAAATTTATAAAAGTGAGTATGTTTCTCTGAAATGAATGATTTATTTTATTTGTCCCACTATGTTTTCTTTTTCTCAGGAATTTGATGTGCTCGAGGAGACTGCATTCGAGACAACAACACCATAGACTAGGCACGTTTATTTACATGAAAAACGTTAAAAATTGTATTGTTTATTTCAGTTTATTACTCATCTGTTTTGAAGTGTTCATGTTATAAACAAACGTATCTTATTAACGCTTATATTCAGTAATAAATATTTACTTGATTTACTTTTATATATTTTGCACATTAACACTTTCCAAATATATATTCACGTATAGATAATGGGTATTGATAATGGTTTCTGTTACCAAATTATCAGCGGAAACGCATTTTGAAATTTGTCGCTGATAAATGCACTTTTCAATGAGTAGCGATGGTAAAACATTTTCAATACATGTTGCTGGTGGAAACACTTTTCAAAATGTGTCTAATGAAAATACTTTTTAAAATGTTGGTCTAGTAAAAGCACATTTGAAATAAAATCACTTTTGTGATAATGAACTTTTAAAATACGTTTTCCGGTTACATAATGTGTTGTATGCAAAAACGAAATGTTGCAATCAAAAACAGTGACTGACAATGTATTTATTCGATGGAAAACGAGTATTATCTTTCTTGAATCACTTCTACAATGTCACAACAAATTGGTTGGAGGTTTCAAAAAATGACGAACTGAAACAAGAACATCAACTCTGTACCAGGGAATTTTTCGTTAAAAAAGCCATTTTTTAATAAAACTATGTTATTTTCTGAATGAAAAGGACAGTGTTTTGCGTTATTTTCGTATTGTTTTTACCAGATTTTGCCAAAAAACTATTTTTATACACGATCACAAAAACGTGACTACAATATAGTTGAATACATTCAGTTATTTTATGTGACATCGAAGAAGTTAAGTTCTATTCATAAAATTGGTCCTGGACCGATGTTCAATTCTGTATACATATATCTGAAAGGAGAAGGTCTACCTACAAAGGCAAAATTGCAGCATACATTATTTGGCGGCAGATTTATTATCCTGCATCTGGTGAACGGTAGTTGTAGTTCCAATCACATCTGAGCATTCTCACATGTGATTTAACAATTTTCTCAAATCCTTAATTGAATTCTTAATTTGAAACACTTCAAAATCATCAACGATGTTTCAACCCAAAACACCAAACTATAAATGTTTCGCAAAGTGTTAATGTATAAGACACTTCTGTGTTCACTAAAAAAACGTTTCTTTCAAATTGTGTTATCATGAAGCACTTCCTAAAACAAAGTTTACACACATGCAATGTTTCAAGGTAAACACTCGACTATGCGTGTTTTATAAGTGTCAATGTATACGATATGTACACAATTTCATAAGAATAACTAAAATACTTTTCTTCCAAACCGTTTTATTTTGAAGCACCCTACAAAACAAATACACGTGCAACGTTTCAGCCTAAAACACCCGATTATATAAGTGTTTATATACAGGACACGCTTGTATGCCGTCTACGGTACGCATCTATTATGTAAATAGTACTTATTATCAACTGTATACAGCATATTTATTGCGAAAAAATGCACATAAATGTCACGTTATACTGTGCATGTAGCGATAAATTTATCGATTATAGTATTTTGCAAGTGTGCATAGCATGTACCTGTCACAAGGTGAATAACCGATTGAATTAAACATGCACAGTGATGTTATCAAAGCTTGTCGTAGCTTGTTAAGTAACTGGTAACTTGTGTCGTACGCACGCTCATGATTGAATTATACTATCGGGAGTGTGTGGACAGGTTGCACGTTCGTTAAAAAACGCAATAACAACTCGAACCAAATAATGTCTGTTTTGATTTTCCAAGGAAAAAAGGGAACCGGAAGTTATTTTAAACAAACCTGAAGGTATGATGATATTGTTACTCCGTTACGAAGCGTGTGGAAAGTGTAATTGATAGAGCCAACGTAGGCAGAGTACTACATTGATATTTGCTGCAGCCTCCGTTTATTTCTTTATGGGCGGGATTGCTGATTAAACTGAACTTCATGCATTTATTTATTCCATACTGCATAACTTCCATGCCGACATCCACCGAGACAAGACCTGAATGACCAAATAAATCATAGAAATGTTGCAGAATTTAACAGGCAAATGCAGTTAAATTCGTGTAAATAGTGTGTAGTCAGATTGAATTTAGTAAACACATTTATTCAGCTGCACATAAGTCGAGAACACTTCCTCGATTGATAATATATGTCTGTTTTTTATATGTTATACCCAAACTTACCTTTAGTTATTAATGTTTATATTTAAGAGTAAATTTATGATTACTCTACAATAGTTCGAAGTGCTTGATCATGAAACGCATCATTTGATGTATTCTTTTTTCAAAAATGACATTGTTAATGATTTTTAAATGAACTGTCAAAACTAGGCTAGGCAAAGAAGCGATAAACAGTAAATAAGGTTGGGCAGTCAGGGACTGCTGAACATAATTTATTTCATAAACCGGCGCTTGGTTGGCGCATGCGCAGAAGCCATCATATGAAAAACTCCATACGGAAGGATACATTCCTGTGAGGTAATAAAGTACCCTGACAAACTATAAACTACAAAGCTCAAAATCTGTAACTACAAACTAAATCTATAAAAACTGCAAGCACAAAAAAATAAACAAAAGGGGAGGGTGGGTTGGGGAAACAACGCCTGCCG